CGCTTGCACTATTTCATCCAATTTCATGGGATTGGTAATAAGTTATGTCAATTTATCCATCTCGTCCCTAACTTTTGCACAACAGTGTATTATTCACGCATCGGAGGTTAATCATTGGCTTAGTAGTGGAACGCCAACCAAAGACGTGCTGCAGGCGTATACAGGGGGGGGGGGCAATGAAAAAATACATTTTGTCTCCACTTCCAGATGGATTTAAGCACACTTTGCTCAATTCAGACCGAATGGTCTCAACTTATTATTAAAAGCGCATTCCATTCTATAAGAAAATCTTTATGATAGCCACCTACGTGGACGGCATCAGAAGAATTTGCCCTGGAAACATGGTGCCCTGGTCGAGCTCGATGGGGTCTTCGAAGCATTGTGTACCATAACGACTAACTAAAAAGCTAGTTTCGAGTGGATTCGCATAGTGGTAGCTAATGCCTATAGAGAACCACCCAACATTGAATCGATTCACGAAATTGCGTAAGAGCTTCAGGCTGAAGCTCTTACGGTAGACCTCCTTGAGCCTGGCGACGGTGACAGATGACGTCATATTCTGAAGACAGTGAGGGCAGTGAAGGAGGGCCTGCGTGCACCTATAGAGGGAGACTTAGAGAATACTCTGCTGAGAAACTTCCGTCAACGATGGCAATCTCTGCGAAGAAAAAACGGCCGAAGTCCAAGATAGGCAAAATGTCTATTTTTTGGCCCCCCCCCCTGTACATGAGTGTTGCACTGCAATCTCAGCACAGGTCGGAAAAAAACAGTGTTTTAGCGCAATAAATGAAAATGAATAAATGAATAATACCACATCATGCTCACACGAAAGCACAAATTGCTTGGCTCTTGTAATCTCAGCAGATCATAGCGTATAACGCGACGATGCAGGGCGGCTCGCAGATTGCACATGCCTTGAACGAGCTTGCCCCATGGGTTGTAGCACTGTCCTGCTGGAAACACCACAGCCAGCTCCCAAAGTGGGAGTGGGATCAAGGATTCAATACGTTTACCCGTATCCACGTCCTTGCTGATCTTCACACATAAATCGGAGAGAGACAGTAGTTTTCCGTGCATACGTCGTAGTATGTGTATCGCTCTGCGTAAGTTGGACGCCACCATCGACACAGACCAGTTGGTGCGCCTGAGTGGAGATATTGTTTGCCGTCGTGAGTTGTATTCTGTGATCAAGGTTAAAAGAATCCACGGAATCCTGCGTGCAAGGTTTAACTTGTGTTGAAGCTTGAGATGGTCTTCGTCGTTTTCGTTATTACGTTCTTCTTTCGCGGAAATCTTTTTGCGCTTCCTTAAGTTGTACGGACCTTCATCTGGCTTCAATTGTGGGGATGGTGTCGTGTCCAGAAGTGGCGGTTTCGGGAAAGTGGGCCCGTTATATGTTATATTTCCATCGTCCACCATGTTTCCGATTTGTAACAGAATCACTTTATTTACCGGTCAACGGACTCCATGTTGTTAGGCACCTCTACCGTTACTTCTCGGATGGTGTCCAGACCATTTCGCCGTAGCTGCACTATGCGTCCCATGGTGCAAGTGTTACGTGGTTGTTCTGGTTCGCAAAATAGGATTATCATACCCTTGTCTGGAGTCAATTAAAACCCTCTCTTCGAATTCATATGAAGTCGGTGGTGTTCACGTAAACTCGTGAGATACTGCGTTCTCCAGATTCGCCAAAATTGTTCTGTGAGCTTAGCGGACGACTTCAGGGCATTTTCAGCCTGAATTTGTGTAAGTAGTCGTTGTGCTTCTTCTGGAGTTAGGTGGGATGGTCTCGTGAAGCTCCAACGTACTTGAAGGGGACGTCCAGAATGAGATCCCTTTGCACAAAATCAGTGGGCCGTAAGCACGGTTGTTCTTCCCACCGTTCCTCCTGATGAGTAATTGGTCTCGAATTCAGTACCGCTTCTATTTCCGTGAGCATGGTGCGTAGAACATCGAACGAGTACTTACGCCTTCCGAACGCCTTGTATAACGCGAATTGACGGGTCAGATCAGCCTCTCATAGAATCCACCCTTCCACGGTGCGTAAGGCGTGATGTGTATCCAGTGAATTTCTTTGCGTGCAACTGCGTGATTGTGTCCGAGTGCTCCATCGTTTCTTTCACGGCTTCGTGGAGAATTCGCTCTCCTGAGAGGAACGATGGGGCGTTATCACAAGCGATGGTCTTTGGTATTCCGCGTCTTGCGGAAAATCTACGAAACGCGTTTAAAAACTTTTCCGTAGTCATATCCTCGACCAGATCCGAGTGAATAAGCCTTGTGGTAGCGCAAGTGAAGATGCAACCAAATATTCTCTTGGAGTCATTCCCTGGACTTTGAATGGGGGGCGGGCCAAAGTAGTCCAATCCGATGTGTTTAAACGGGCGTGTCCTATGCACACGTCGCTCCGGAAGATCCATATCGGGGTAGCGGAATTTCAAGTTGTTATGCTTTTGGCATTGGAAGCACTTTCGTAAGAGGTGCGATACTTGTTGCCTCAATTTAGGAATCCTAGCGTTCTCGGCCTATGGACGTCGTATGCGCTACTCCTAGATGATATTGAGTGTGTGCTTCCAACATTATCATTCGTGCGAGGGCTGTTTGTGGAGCTATGAATATCGGCGTTTGCGCGGATGGTGGAATCGCTGCATGTTTAAGACGGCCGGTGCAGAGCAATAATCCATCTTCATCAGGCTGGATATTCAATTCTCTTTGCAACGAGACCTGTTGTGTATGAAGCACAGCTTTTTGTTGATCACGAATAATACATTTTTTCGCTTCACACAACTCTGATCCTTTAAGTTTGTGTGTTGAGGTTGCCGCTTTAAGTGCTGGAATTTTGCTGATAACGGCATCTATTCGATCTGTCGTTAGTCGGTTAAGCAACCTTCTTATGAATCGAAGCGCATACGCAACCACCCGCTGCGCTTTGTGGAACGTGCTGAATCGTGGGAGCTCAAAGATGGTAAGTGAATCCAGCTCTTTTCCTTTTTTTCAAAAAGAGCTGCAATTACCATAGCAGCTTCGATCTTGTCAACATCCTCCTCTTCCTGCACGGCGATTGGGAACATGCCTTCTAATGTCTCCTTGTATTGGTTGAGGACCTTTCCACCAAACGTGTTCCTCACATGTTGAAGATGTAAATCCGCGTGTTCCACAGTTTGCTGGGTTATCCTTGGTTGACACGTGTCCGAATAGGCACTTGAGCCCCTTTGCTTCCAAATCTGTGACAACTTCAACCGATTTGTCACCAATACTCCTATATTCTTTCGATAGGGTAGTGTTTCAAGTCATCCTGGAACGATCTCGGAGTCGGTAAAGAATAGGATTTGGTGTATGTCTACCAAGGTGTTCAAGGACGTATGAACAAAATGTGCACAGTCGCGCCGCGGGTGGGCGTTCATTTCCAGCTTTGGAATTGTCGTAGCTGTTTTCAGAGAGGTAGCTTCGACTTTGCCATTATTAATTTCGTGGAAGAGGACGAGCCAATGTAAACGCATTCTGCCATAGCGATGTGGCTAGCGTCAGCGAAGACGAACATAGTCGATTTCTCTTGGCATTGTATCGCTTGCCTCCCCAGTTCCTTGTAGAAGGTAGTAATTCCGTAGGAAATAATGAGCCATTGTTCCCTTAGCGCCGCAGGCAAAGGCGTATCCCAGCTTTACTCGTCCTTCCAAAGCGATTGAAGAAACGCTTTTGCTGGGAGTAGTATGGGCACGAGGAATCCGAGGGGGTCATATACTGATGCAAGTTGTCGCGATACTGTCCTCTTGGTGACATTCCTTATGGGTTTATTGCTCCTCTGAGGATAATCGTATCGTACGGTGGATTCCATTGTAATCCCAAGACCTTAGGGTATTCCGTTCTAGAGCGATCTTCTTAAAGCCACGAGTCAGGATTAGGTGACCACAGAAGGGCTTTCCATCACTAATATTTCCAGGAGTGCGCTCAGAGGGGTGATGCCACACTCCTGACCCGAAATTGCGCACCATCAAGGCCTCTGGCATACTACTTACAGCGATGGGTTCGTTTCATCAGCTGGTCCCGCCCACCGCGGGATGTGGAGCGTGGCTGGCCTAACGTGTGAGATCACCTAGGATGATTGCCGTATCAACCGATGGAACGGCTGGCATATCCTGAAAACTCGTTTGGACGTGGCTCTCCCCCGCGCAAGCCTCCTTCACTGCTAGAAGGGAAGGGGTTTCGATTTCGGTCTTGTCGACGGTTTCTTTGCAATTTTTCTTCACTGTCGTTCCACCTCCCATCTCTACACTCAATTTCAAGCGCCATAATGTCCAAACACGAGCCTGGCTTTTGTCTTCAAGGGATTGAGGAATTGAAGACGCTATCATTAGACCAGAACTCTCTAAGGTTCATATGGAGGCCATTGAAAACATTTTTGGCTACGTGATATTTGCTCATTGCTTCCTCTAAATTGTCAGCACCGATGATCAAGTTATCGACGTAGAGATTTTCTTTAATTTTCTTGGCCATGTCGTTACTTGAGGTCATATGGTCGAGGTGGAATGCAGTTGTAGATGCTAGCAGAAACGGTGATAAGTTGAGTCCGAACGTCACTCTTGTAACCGAGAGGTAATGATATTCTCCTGGGTAGGTGGGAGTGAAATGTCGCGTACCCACATGCATAGGGTTGCATCACGATTTGCCTCTTGCAGTCTAACCTGCAGGAATGCTTTTTCCACATCAGATATTGCTATGTTGTGGACGCGAATTCGTAAGATGATGGAGACCATGTCTGGGAAAAGTAAAGGTCCTTGGTGAAGAACATCGTTTGGGCATGGCTTATTTTTGTAATGAGCCGAGGCATTGAATACTATTCGCATCTTCGTAGTTTCCTTTGACGGAGTAATAACCGCCTGATGCGGTAAGTAGTGGACTACGGTCCCTTCCGATGATTCCTCCTGCGTGACCTCTTCTATAACTTGAAGATGGCATCGTATTGCAGTAGTGTATCCTTGTCGTGCAAGCACATTTTGAGCATCTTATGGAGCATTTTCAGACCAATGGTTTTTTTTGTCTGGCAGAGTAGCACAGTTAGATTTCCACGGTACTCTGACATAGAATCCCTCACATCTACGTTGAAAAGTATCCCGAAATTCTTGCAAATCCTTCTCGTTGATCTGCTGACGTTCTGACTTTTCCGAACATGTGAACTCATCTGTACCTGAGAGCCTAATAACGGTCCCATGTCTCCTTTTCATCCTCTGCACCAAGGGCGACAAGGATTTTCACTTGCGCATTCACTTCTAGGGATTGTCGGCCGCTGACTATGTAGCCGAATTTTGTCGGTATTAGTTGCAAGCCGGAGGGTAACGTCAATTTGCCCAATAGCATCATAAAATCCCACAAATAATTGCAACTGAGCAATATTTGCGGCTGTACCGACGGTAGTCGCTCTGGTAATGGTAGCAGTATGTCATGTTTGGAGATGAATTCCGGTCCTCTTCGTCGAGGTCTGCTTTTTCTATCGTGCCCGTTATTTGCTGCGGTGCAATTGTAGCTCGTGTCGAATACCCTCGACATCACAGAGTTGCAACTTTGTAATCTCACATTCTCTAGTGTAGGATATTGACGAGCCGAACGTACTAATTGTCAATGTCGTATTTTCGACCACCGGAAGCTCCAGTTCGTCTGCGAGTTTATCATGAATGTGGGCTCATATGTACAGCGGCCGGCTTCAGTCTGGAACTAAAAGTGAGCGGCTACGTAGAACGACGGGTTTGGTAGGATTGTAGTGGTGCTCTTGATTTTGGGAAAACGAACATGTTGGATAGTGCTCGTGGGACTTTTCATTTTATCAATTGTGTACAATGAGGTGACGTCGAACGACCTCATTGCTCAAGCCGAAAAAATGGACCCAGGCGCAATTCTCGCAATCGCAGGGTGCGCCAAAATTATGGCGACAACAAATGAGCATACAATTCAAACCGATATTTAAGGACGCTGTTTTCTTCTATCCTAGTTTTGGTGCTGCCGCGTGGAATTGTTTTATGTCAACCTCTACCAAATTTGATCCTTCTGAGTTCGCATTCAAACACGGGAGGTACTTCGCGCTGGGAACCAACTCCCAGTCATTCCAGGATTAGTGGTGAAGACAAACGTCATCAGCATGTTGACGACGCCTTCAATGTGAAAGTCGAGCAAGACGAAGCCTGGAATTATTGAAATCCCTTCGACCTAACTTTGCAGAAAAAATTGGGGTTTTCCAACTTGATATTTCTTTTAGCTTCGCTGCCCTAACCTTCTGGCAAAGACTAGCCACTCGTCCCCTCCCCAGTCTCCCTTGGTTTCTCAGAACTGCATCTTGCTCATCCTAAGCCACTCGAAGTCGCCGTCGCCGTAATTTTGGGGCACCCTGTAGCTGATGAATATGTTTGTGTTGGACAGGCGAGAGGGTACCCCGGTCGATGGTTTGCTCACAATATGCCTTGAAGTCACTAACCATCTGTCGGTAGTTCCACCCACGCAACTGATTTTTCGTCTTTTTTATAGATGTCCGCCAAAATTTACAGCTCGTTATCCGCGAATATGTGATTTTCAAGTCGACTTCAAGTGAATTTCCGCTATTCCACGATCCAGCAATTGCTACATGACAATTTTCCACTCTCGAGAACGGAGACTATTGTTGTACCGTCTAACCCAGTCTACAACAATGATACTAATCTTTGTTCGATCGACGGTTTGCGACGGTTGCAAATGGTCGTCTCGCTATAACTCTTGAAGAAATGGTTTACGCGACTTGGAGGTTATACCAGCTCATAGCTCTGCTCGTGGTCTACATGGTGCTATATTTCAATTTTTGAAAGAGCTCCATCTAGGATTGCGCCATGCACACGACTTCCATCCCGAGAAGCAATGAATATGCTTTGCATGTGATGACATACTAAACCCCTCTTTTGCAGTCCACATATTCCACAGAAGGATGGATCTCAACACTTGCCAAATACGCCACGTACTCAATCTATACACCATATTGTGAGGCTGAATAAGCGTTTTTTTCGAATTCCGCGAAATTACTTCGTTCTAGAGTGCTGGTTGGCTGAAAGTGTTTATTCTTCTCTCATCATCCCATACTTTCATTTTGAATGGAAATCTTCGATCAGTTTCCAGCAGTAGTGGTAGGCCTATTGTGTGGCATTCTCCACTTTCAGAGGAGAGATACAGTTTTGAGGAAACCTTATAAGATAGCGAGTAATTCTCTCCACCGGCGTGGACTACGGTCACTTGTCTGTAGGTCGTGTAAAACATTTGGTCGCAGATGAGCGTTCCTTCCGTGGTGTGGCCCCAAACATCACTGTTCGTCATGTCCTTGTGATGATCAGTTTTTTTGCTTGTCCACATGAACGTGGGAATCTGAAATGAGCATCATTCGATTTCCCATAAAAATACTATCGAATGGTGTACAACACAGTTTGCACACGAAATTTGTTTTTTCCACCTTTCTACCAATTGCCGATCGTCTTCCCAGCCCTTGGCGGCCACCATGGCGCCTGCGATTGACGTGCGCCTTGCCGCCCGCTAACCTCCGCGTCTCTCTCAATTGACTATTCCATTGATTACTACTTAAGCTCAACTACAATTCAAAGAAGGTAAACAGCTGATGTTCAAGTCATCGACTTTACTTCTCTCGACAACTCCAGAGCACAACTCTAGACAATCTACTGAACTTGCTGTGATGGAAGGCTGGTTGGACTGGGCGGTGTGCAGTCGACTACTCGATCCCCTGGCCGTGCGTGTGGTAAAGGCCACTTCTTTTCACTCCACTTGGCTAGATATCACCAATAATGATTTAGGATCCTACCTACTATAAAGCGTTAAGTCTGTCGTTGTGCCTGTCGACTGTCGTCTATCGTTCTGTATGCCTGTCACGAAACTCCCTAGGTTCTGAGGATTGGCTTGGAGAGACCGGGTAAAGTGTGGGATGGGTGGGCAAAGTCTCGCGAAATACAAATTAGGCAGCAGCGAAGCGAAGCGCCGAGTACAGCGGGCGTGGAATAGCGGTACTGACGACCAAGATTTTTAGTTCTATCACAAAACACTATTACAGCCTCAAGACAGGTGAAAACGTGGGTAAACGTGTGCTATGGTGAGACAGACCGAACTAGGGAGATCCACACAGGTGGGCGGGGCGTCCTTTAAGAAAGCAATGCTATACGAAAACATTCATAACTCGGTTTGGAGTAATCCTGAAGAGTAGAAAAAACTGGTGTAGGAAAGCAAGAGAAGGAGGGCAGGATAAATGTTAATGGAGGGCGTGGCGTGCAGAAAAGTGGGTAGGGTTTGCTACCAAACCTATACTCAGTCCCAAAATCCTAGAGAACAGGAAAAAGGCTATAGTGTTCGACTACGAGAGAGAGGATAATACCTGTAGGTGAGCGGAGCGTGCACCTATGTGGGCGGAGTTATCCACGAAACTATAACTCAGATGTTCGCGAGAAAAGGATATCGAGTCTGACTACGAAGGGGAATTCAACCACCACTGGTGGGCGGGGCATGCACTAAAGTGGGTGGAGGTTGCTGCCGGACTTATAATGTATTTCTAGGATGTTCTAAAGGTCGGGATTGTTGGAGGCAAAGAAGAAAAGGTTGGGTGGAGCTGCACCGAACTAGGCTGAGTTTGCGACGAGATTTGTAATTCGGTTTAGAAGAAGTCCATAATCCGGCAAAATGGTTGACGAAGAGAGTTCGAAAGCCATCGATGATGGAGCAGTTAGAATTCAGCTAAGAAGTCAGATAGTGTAGGCGCAATGCGTGCAGCGCCAGCTGGTGGCTTTATATTTTTTGATCAGCTGGCGCCTCACGCGTTGCGCGCACCACAGTTCTGGGATGGGATGGTGCGGCGTAAATTCTCGAATGTTGCCCTACTACAAATATTTGACTTTCAGACTGAATTCTATACGATCGACTCATGCTCCGTCCAACTATGGCTGTTGACCTCCTCTTCTCCGTCAACCAAGTTTCCGCTTTTCCCAGTCTCGGACTGCCTATATACCTGTTTATAAATCTTGTGATAAACTCTGCTTTTTTCTTTGCGTGTCCCAACTATCTTTTTCTTCCTCGCCAACCTCCCCACCTTCTAACCCGAACTCTGAGAAACTTCCTGGAACCGATTAAACGAAATAGGTGGGGTCGGATAGAGCAAGGTTCGGTCAAAAGAATTTTTCGAAAGAACTTCCAATCTGGCATTTTTTTCTTGTTTTTTAAACCGAGAAATAGCAACTGTCGAAACGCCGATTTTTGCCGGCTCGATTTTATGAGTTCTAAGCTCTATACCTGCGTATAGCTACAATGTTGAAGAAAACGACATTCGCGCTTTTATAAAACGAGAAGAGAATTTTCGAGTACTATGAGCAAAAGATGATACCTGTGCTGAATGGGTTTATACGATTGGAAAAAAATGCTACGGTATTATGCTCCAACCCAATATTTTTATGGGAAATCAAACAACGCCCATTTTTGATTCCAAAGTCCTCTGGGGGGCCAGACCACAGAAGGAAAGCTCATCTGCGACCAAATATTTTACATGAATCCTACAGACAAGTAACCGTACTCCACGCCAGTGGAGAGAATTCTTCGTTTCTTATCAGGTTTCCACAAAAGATCTCCTCTGAAAATGTGGAATGCCAGATAATAGGCCTACAGTTACTGCTGGAAACTGATCGAAGATTCCCACTCGAAATGGAAGAATGGGATAAAGAGCGCAGCAGCAACACCTTCAGCCAACTAGCGCTCACGGAGTAATGGTCGCGGAAATCGAGAAACACTTATTCAACCTCACAATATGGTGTATAGACTGTGCGCGAGGCGCATTCGGCAAGTGTTGAGATCCATCCTTCTGTGGAATATGTAGACTGCAAAAGAGGGGCTTGGTACGCATTACATACAAAGAATATTCACTGCTTCTCGGGACGGAATTCGAGTGCGTGGCGCAATCCCAGATGGGGCTCTTCCAAAAATTGAAACATAGCAACGTGTAGACCACGAGCAGAGCTATTAGCTGGTATAACTTTCAAGTCGCATGAACCATTTAGAGTTATGGCGAGACGACCGTTGACGGTTTCTACCCGTCGCAAACCGTCGATTGAACAAAAGTTAGTATCAGTGTTGTACGTCATTCTCTAGACTCTTTAAGCTGCTCAAATGTAAACTGTGATAATGGAGCTGCCCTGCTGATATAAAAAGCTAAGCACACCGACCGAGTCTACCTTGTTATCTTCGGTTGATACATGGTCGGATCCTTCCATATCCCGGAGATAGGGTGGGTGGGGCCACAGACGTGATTGCGGACTACACAAACTTGAAAGTTGTCGCAGCGAACAGCTGATTTATATTCGTTGACTTCTACTATTATTCTGATGTTCTGCTGTATTCTAGTATTCTCTAGCACTACTTTACTTATTCTACAAAACAGGTAAGTCAGTTTCACCGAAAACTATGCTGTTTTGGAAGTTATTTGCATGATTTTTTGCAAATATCGAGATTGAATCGTGGTTTTTATTTTATTTGTAATGTTACCTTTTTCC